CTCCCTCTCTGAAAAGCAATGGAAAAAATATCCTTGGGTGAGGATTAAAAAAAAAAAAAAAGACAACATGAAAAAGAAAAATACAGGCCAATATCATGCTATGCTACCTATGTCATTGTAAGTGATTCTGATGTAAAAAAAAAAAAAAGGGCTTATATATACATCATAAATCTAAATGTCTACTTGAGACTAAGAAGATTTTTGGGCACTGCACTGTTCAATAAACATTAGCTACTGCTATTATTTCAAACACCACTCCCTTTACAAAAATTAAAACAAAATAAATATAAATTTAAATTTTATAAGCATGTTATTGTATTATTTACTCTTTTTAATACTGACTGATCTTAAATTATATGCCTTTGTTGATTTATTCATCTTATAAAAATAAATTGAACATTTACTGAATGCCAACTGTATGCCAGGAAAAAGTACATACTCTCAAAGTTCTGAGAGTATATAATTGAATGCAGAGGTTGACAAACGTTAAAAGGCCAGGCAGCAAATAACTTAGACTTTGCAGGTCATACACTCTCTGTTGCCACTATACAACTCAGCCGTTGTAGCTTGAAATCTGCCACAGATAATATAGAAACGAGTGAGTGTGGCTGTGTGTCAATTAAACTTTATTTATGGACACTGAAATATGAATTTCACATCACGAAAAAAGCTGTTTCTTTACAATCATTTGAAAATGTAAAAACCTTTCTTTGCTCAAAAGTCTTATAAAAACAGGCAATGGACCAAATGTGGCCTACAGACTATAGTTTGCCAACCCCTGATCTAATGAAAGGCAGAAACCCCATCAATACTAAGACAAACTTATGCACATGTATGCAAAAATTTGCATCCAATTTCTAAAAGTTGGGTCATATAGGAAACTTGGAATACTGTATTTGCTCTCTGAGGTCCTTTTTAATTCTAATAATCAATAATTTTCAAACTCATCCTAATTGGAGTTCTTTTGGGTAATGCTCAAGTGACCTAAATGCACCACTTGAAGACAGCTTTACAAAACCTTCTCCCTCAGTACAGTGGGTTTTTACTTTCTTTATGCCCTTTCTCTATGTAAATAAACTTCAGGTTGTTTAATTGAGTTGGCATATTTTCTTAATGATTGCAAAAATCTTCTAACTGATCTGTTTCCTACAAATCATCCCATACAATATTTTCATCGGTCTTCCAACATAGCCTGAATACCTCTGCTCAAAAGTCCCCACTGACTTAAAAAAGGAGGGGGGGGGCTAAAACCTTAGCCTTAGCCTAGCTTTCAAGATGCTCCACTATGTGGCTACTACACATCTCTACAATCTTATCTACTCTTATCAAGTGAATTGTGTTCACTGCTACAAGAACACAGTATGTATTCCTATGTCTCTGCTGCTGATTACCTTGCTCCTCTTGTCTCTTTTTCTAAATCTTACCATTCTTTCAAGATCCTCTTGTGTTCACTTTCTTCCAACAAGCCTTCCTGATTTAGGCAATCCCCACCCCCCCATGATCTTTCCTCCTCTTTCAAATTTTATTATGTTAACCACAAATTACTAACAAAAATACTCTGCTATTTACCTTTGGTACATTTTCTCACCCAACCTATCACACACTTTGAGGATAACAAAAAATGATTCTGTGCTTAGCTTACTATCCTATACCTTTAGGTGTTCAATTATTGCTTGTTGTTAATGACAAAAAGTCTTGCATCAAACATACATTTTAATTGTTTCAAAAACATAATAGAAAAATTGTTTTAAAAAAATGTCCCAAACAAGAACGCCACTTACTTTTACCAATATATCTTTTACAACTTGATTGCTATCATTATGAACGCTGATATAACTGGAAAACGTCTCTCCCAAAAATATGTTCCTGTGAAATAAAATAAATTTTTACACAGAAATCCATTCAAGTTTTATCACGAATATTCTATTTGAGCACCACTGAGAACTTCAAGTGGAGAAAAATTTATTAAAGGATAGAGATCAGGTAAAATACTGCTTCAACATTCCCCGTTTACACTAGGCTGTTTTTTCATCACTTAATGCAATTCAAAGTACTTTTTTAATCTATAAAACATGATATATAGCATGGCCCTTAACTACTCTACCAAACGCCAGTCTCCTTAGAGAGTCTTAAGATTTGTTATTGATGAGGATAGAAAAAGGCAATTTTTGAAATAACTTTATGACCTGAATCTAGAAGAGACCCAAGTAATTGATCCGAGTATTTTTTACCAATTTATTTAATTTTCCTGTTATTCCAATAAAAATAATAGCTAGTGACTTTATATTTTTTATAAAATGTGTTTTACAAAAATATATATTTACAAGCATATATTATGTAAAATATTAAAAAAGATATTTTTTATAAAATATTTTTTTACATGAATATATTTCCAAGTTTTTAAGACTCTCACTAGTCAATGACTACAGTCTGTTAACCTTTAAAAAAAAACCTGAATAATTCCTTTTGGTGCCAAATTCTCGGTTGCAAAAAAATGCAATCAGGGGCATCTACCGCATAATAATCTAGAACAACAAAATAGCAAGAGAAGGAATAAAAAAATTTAGAGTTCCTGATTAGTTGACAAGTCTGATAACTTACGTTGAGGGCATGCTGTGAAGTTAAGTGGGTTCACTGTTGTGAGAACATGAAACAATTTATTCTTGTATTATTATTTATTAATTATTGTATTACTTTCCATATGAACAACTGTAAACCTACTTCTGCCCGACCCTGTATAGTAAGATCTAAAGGAGAAAGTTAAAATTCGATCACCTGAGAAACCACTATAAATATTTTGGTATGTATCTTATTTTTCTTAACCATATATATCTCATTGTTTTTTAAAAACCAGAATCACATAGTATAACTTTGATAAAATGTTTTTCATCATGAGCATATTTCCAACCCATAGCTATTTTTTGAAAACTAGCTTTGGAATGGCTTTAAAGTATTGCTGCATTTCTTATGTGACTACATCATTCTTACCCGAAATTCTGTGGTAAAGTCAACATTTCTCCCAACATTAAAATTTCTGCACCATTTACAGTTGAAGGATCATCTCTCATGAGTTGGTTAAAGAGATCTCCTATAGAAAGAGAAAAGCATAAAATTCTAACCTCTACATTGTAAATAAGTTTACTTACATAAAGAAATATCTGGGAGAGATTAAAAGAAATAATCTCTTCGCAAAAGTTGTATTTTAAATACCTAGTATCTAATCTTCAATGCAACCAGTGTAAGCCAAAAAATTCTGGTTTCACAGAGAATACGCTTTAGAAACAAAGGGAAATACAGGTCATGTGATATAAAATATATTATAGAAAGCTACAATAATTTTAAATAAAGAGAATGCTAATACACACATTTATGGAACATGTGAAGATAAATGTAATTTTTACAGTACCATGACTAATAATGTATTATTACTAAAACTGAATTAAAAGTCTCCTGTTGCCATAGGATATTAATAGTATCTTGACTTACAGAGTATGAGTGAGACCTGTACTCAGATGGCCACCACTCGCATGGTACAAAAACAGGGAACAAAGAATGCAGCAAAGAGTTAGCATAAAATTGTCAAGGTGAGGCTTAGCGCAAGGTAATAGAGGCAATCAAGGTGCCAACTTTCCCCTAGGTGCAAGCAGAATAAAACACGTGCCATACCAGGTAAGTCTTTCTCTTCACATGTTACTGGAATATTGGTGAATAAAGTAGGCTTAGTCAACCGCATCACTGTGAATTACAATAGGAAAAAAAGAAAAAAAGAAATTAATATTGCTTTGGGTTAGTACTCCCAAGTGTATGGTATTCATCAATTTCATACTAATATAATATATAACTAAATACTTCCTAAGCTAAATATAATACTAAATACTTCCTAAGATTATTATACAGCAATAATTTAAAATGCTAATATATAAAATAATTTTATACTGAGAGAATAATTTTGCATTTACAACCTAATGAACTATAAAAATTAAATGTAAATATAATACATCTCATTATAGAAAAACTGGGAAATAAAGGAATTTTAAAGCTTAAGGTATATTCGGAGAACAAGGCTTTAAAAAAAAAAATCCTGAGTGACTTTAGTGTAAACAATATTGACAAAATATTAATTGAAAGTAGTGTCACAGGAAAAGAAGTTTAGATGCACCGTTTTGAATATGAAACCATAATTTTACGCCAAAAGGATCTTTTGTGAGCTTTATTCCTCAGTTATAATTACTGATCACTGAAGTTCAGTACGTGGCCCTTTAAGTAATATTAAATGTGTAGAAATTACAAAAGCATCAGTTAATGCATAGGTTTATATGATTCCAACCAAAACTAAGATTTGTTCTTGGAACATGGCAGAATGTGTCTAAAGTTTATCTAGAAAAACAAATAAATGAGAATAATAAAATAAATGGGAGAAAATGAGGAAGAACTGGACTTACCATAAATTAAAACATTTAAGTTCACAATCAACTAATTGGCTTACTAACTGAAGACCATATAGATATACATATATTAGATAGTTAATAAAGATTATTAAGATATAGCAAAAAAACCCAAAAACAACATTATGAGATGCTAGGACAACTGGTTAGCTATCTGGGAAAAATAAAATTTAATTTACAAATTCATTTCAAATATCAAATAAATTCCTTATGGATCAAATAGACAAAAAATTAAGACACAGAAAATAGAAAAAGTGAAGTATTTATTAAATAGTCTAGCAAGGATAGAACATTCTAATTTTTAAAAAACCTTTTCAACTATTTCTGAAGATTGACATTTGACATCAAAATAAAAATAAAATTTAAAATCATACAAAAATATTTCAGAAAATGAATCACAGAATTTCTTTATACACTATTAAAAATGTTCATTTAAATCAAAACCAAAAAGATTTGAAGACTATAAACCTACATGGTCAATTCAAAATATAAGTGATGTTCATTCACATATGTAAAAACCTACCACCTAATCACTAATTAACTAGCTATATCATTCATATCAAATTTAATGCCTTTCTTCTCTTCCCGGTCTCAGTTTAAATGTTTCCTTTTTCAGAAAAGCAGTAACAGGTCACCCTGTTTCTCTCATAGCACCCTGTATTTATCATGAACCGTATTTATTTACTTATTTGTAGCACTCCTATCCAAACTCCAGGAGGTTTATGCTCCTATATATCATGTTCAGTTTTGTGGCCTCCTCATTTGACATAGGTTCTGACACACAGTATATTCTACAGATCTTTGCTGAATGAAAGAATTAGCACCTCATCAAAGTCCTCAAGTAACTGGCATTATTTTGAAGATGTAAGTTTGAACTAAGGACCATTAAACAATGTTGTATTAAATAGATGTGTTCTGAAATAGTCAACAAATGTTAACATTATGCAAAATACTTTACAAGTATTAACACATTTAATTCTGACTACAAATTTGGTATTATCATTAACCCCTTTTTACAGATAAGAAGATGCCAATAGAAGTTAATTTGCATATAAAACATTATACAGCAGATAGATGGCAGAACTAGATTTGAACTCAGGTGATTTCACTCAGTTCAAAAAGAATTCTCTATATTATTAATTGTAAATCCGGGTAATGACCTTGGAATATCATGCGAAATTAGAAAACATTTTGGGTATTTTGAACAGATTAAATCAAAGTGCATCATTATACAGGAGCTCATCCTGAAATTTTTCAAAAAGTGGTCTTTAAGTTACTTGATAAGTTGGCAAGTGAAGTTCAATTCATATAATACCCTTTTCACCTTTTTTCTTTGAATTTGACTTAACATTTAAAGGTAGATGGGTCATCAGGGAAAAAATAAAATTATGGTATTGCTGCCACTTCCCTGGAGAGTAAATGCTGATAGTATTTTACCAAATGCCCTCACAAATACACCTTCCTGTACATGCCTTTATTTTCCTAATTTATTTCCATGTCTATGTTAAGAGTGGAACCCAGAAGTACTGCTGAGCCCCACTATTAGCTTGTGATAGGATCATGAGTCCTAAGGTTCTAAATATTCAAAGAAGTAGCCATAGATTCTAAATTCTTAGGCCTTGATTTCTTAAGTACTGTCTAGGACCTAGACTCTAGGTAGAAGAGAAATGAATCTTCCCCTCTTCTTTTAAGATCATGAGAGTATTTGCAATAAAACTTAATCTTCAGTTTCCCACTTCTGAATTACCTTTTCAAAGTTTCTCAAAAGGTTAGAAAGCAATTTATATAAACTAGAAAAATTTAAATCTGCCACATATTGAAGACAAAGCAGATTGTTTTTTTTTAATATGTCTTTATTGATTTCAGAGAGAGGGAGACAGAAACATCAATGATGAGTCATCGATTGGCTGCCTCTTGCACTCCTCTTACTGGGGATGAAGCCCACAACCCGGGCATGTGCCCTGACTGGGAATTGAACTTCGATTTCCTGGATCCTAGGTCAATGCTCAACATGCTCAACCGCTGAGCCACACTGGCTGGGCAAAGCAGCTCTTTTTAATGTGTGATTCTTGGATTAAAAAGCTACTCTTCATAAGAATCCCATGATGCCAGACTGTACCTTGTAGTTTCAGCTCTGTGTACAATCATTTCAAAATAAAACTATCATAGAAAACCAGTGTTATTTTTAAGTGACTTTTATGAGTATATAACTTTTAAATTTTATTTACTTTAGATTTATTTATTTTTAAAAAATATATCTTTATTGATTTCAGAGACAGGAAAGGAGAGGGAGAGAGAGAGAGAGAAACATCAATGATGAGAGAGTCCTTGATCGACTGCAGCCTGCAACCTAGGCATGTGCCCTGACGCGGAACCGAACCCCAATCTCCTGGATCCTAGGTTGATGCTCAACTACTGAGTCATGCCCGGCTGGGCTACTTTAGATTTAAAAAATTGATTTTGAGAGAGAGAGAGAGAAACATCAATCATTTAAGATCATGACAATATTTGAGAGAGAGAGAGAAACACTGATGTGAGAGCAAAACATCAATCGGCTGCCTCCTGCACGCCCCTATTGGGGATCAAGCCCCAAACCCTAGCATGTGCTGTGATCCAAAATTGAACTGGCAACCTTTCAGTGCACAGGACGAATCAATCCAACCGAGCTACACCAGCCAGGGCATGAGTACCTAACTTTTAACCCTTGATTAGCAACCTTATAGTGAGTAAGACCTAAACAATAAAAATCAGATTCATCATTTATTTCTGACAAATCAGATTCATCAATACTAAATGACTTCTTGACGTTTCCCCAGCAGTCTTAGATTGAGAAGATTAATGAATGAAAGAGGAAGTCATGACTGAAGAAATTACCTTGGAAACTCCCTCTACACCAGGTGATTTTTTTCATTTAAAAACTTTTGGAAGCATTCATGCACATAATTATTTTCTAGACAGCAGTCTCATTTGAGATAATAAATGGTACTAAAAAGAGTTAAAAACAAAACAATGTTTGAATAGAGTAAAACCTACTTGGAAAAAATTACTTATTCAGTTAAAAATTAGTAGACTCCTCAGACTTTAAGCAACATCAGCCTGTGAAGAATCTCTCCAAGGGCCCCTACCGTGCCAGGCACTATGCTACAAGGCAGAAGTATCTCCGCCATGCTAATGAGCAGTCTTACTGTTGTTGTTTTTTTATAAGTTGGTTTTAATACTTAACAGTAATAACTCCATTAAGCTCTGTGAGGGTAGGGTGCTTCTTTGTCTCCTTTCCTACTACATTCTAGTGCCTAGCTCATAGAAGGCATTTAAATTTGTTAAATAAATACAACATGCTTTCATAAAACTTTTATTCTAAAATCACTTTGGTTATTTTTATGAGGTGATATGTAAACCCAATTTGTAGCATTCTGGTTATGGGAAACCAACAATCACTCCTAGAACCAGCCAACTAGTAACCAGTAATGGGGGTCACTAAGATTGAATTACTTTTACAGGAATGAAGAATAACTTGCTTTCTTATTATATTTGATACTACTTTTCAAAGCAGGTTATACAGCCTTAAAGATACATTATGTCTTAGGTAAATTATACATTTTTTTTACCTTTGTTTCAAGACAACACATCAACTATTATTTATTACATATTCTTGGAAATAGCATAATTTGGCTGGTCTCCCAATGTGAACTACATTCATGCCACTTGAATAGCATTCCCAATAGAAACGGTTTTAGTTTTATGTTTTTAAAAGTTCTTACGCTCTAGATGAGTAAAGAAAAAGTGCTGTAAAATTAGATTTTAAGGATTCACCCAAATCCAAAATATTCACTACAATTCACAGGAATATCTAATTCAACCACTGGAAAAGTAACAGAACAAAAGGAATGGAACATTTTACCTCTAAATTCAGTATAATAATTATCACAATTCATTTAAATAATGGCTGTTAAAAGTAGAACCCAGGAAGTGCTTGATCTAAATGACAAACCTACAAATTCATCTGATAGTTATTTATTTTTGGGATACAAACTGAACACATATTACCACACAATGTTAAGAATAAGTCAGCTGTATTAGCAAAGGTTCAAATAAAAAAATTAAGTCATTAAAAATTTAAAAGCCAGTAAAAAAAATTTACTCATCTCACTATTTCAGTATATACTGTTCATTCAGAATAGTCTTTTTGACAATTAGTGGAATTCATTACATACTAAAAATAACACCATGTTTATGCACAAATAAATTGATTTTCCCAGTAAGAGCTAATCTTCCTTTAAGGAGATTTCCTACATATTCACAGTACATAATATCACAGAACACCCATATTTGGCCCAGATGTCTCTGAATTGTAGCATTACAAGATGGAAGTTCATTGTGCCTGATAATTTGATTGAGTTTTGCCCAAATGTCTTCCAGAGTTTGATTGTTACAAATAGTGTGTTCTACTGTCCATCTTGCTCTATAAAATGAGTGTAAATTTAGTGCCTTTAAACTATCTTGCAATTTTTTAGACAAAGGAAAAATATTTTCAGTACAGTTTCTGCTGGGGAGTGAAACACTCCAAGACCTCTTCTTGTGCCGTTTTCCTTTTTCTAACTGTTTATCCAGATTTCCAGAAGTAGTCTGTTCATTCAGTGTGTGAGACCGGATTAAGTGCTTCTTTTCTTTCAAGTTAGGTTGAAACTCTAATAGAGCTACTGTGGAATCGTAACTCTGTAGTTTAACATCATGTTCTGAAATGGTTAAGTCTTGTTTCACATCTTCAGCTGCCTCTTCAGAAATCACAGGTGGTGATCTTTTAGGTTTGAGTGGAAGTTTGGATCCATCATGTGGAAACCAAGGAACAAATCTCGGTAGTGGACGTGTAGGAAAGTCTTGAATTGCTTTCTCTGCAATTTTTAGCAGTTGTGTGGGATCCCTCTGATATGCTCGATAATGTAATATTACTTCTGTAGTCATTCTGCAGTAATCCAGTTACCCTTAATGAAGAGAAAATTTCTTAGCTGAGCTCCTCAGAGCTAGAATGTAATTTATAATTACAGGACTGTCTCTTTCCAAATCAGAGGGAAACAGGACCTAAAGTGGAAGTATTGCAAAGAATAAGATATGGTAGGGATAGCTTACATACAAATAGGCAGGGAGAAAAGGAAAAACAAAAACCAAGGCTAGTACACTATTTTACGAAAGTGCTATTGGTAAATGTGAATGTAATCCACAAAATTGGAAATCCTTTCCCTCATCAAAATAAGGGATATGGATTAGGTGCCTTATAAGATCACTTCTAGCCTAAAAATGCTAGTAGTCAACATGTTTAACTCAATGAATAAAGGATTTGGAAGTAATAATATTAATTTATTAGGTAGTAATAATCTTAAACCTATATAAAAAACAAAGAAAAATAAGTGATTGTTAAAATACTAAATTCATATAAAGGTAACTAACAAAAATGTAATAATAATTAAAATTTTAAGTTTGCATTTTAACCGGGCCAGGAAATGGTTTTGTGACAGTCTCTTCTGTATAATTAGGGCACTTAAACAGTATCAAGACCTGAATTCCTGAATTCTTGAATTCCAATTTGGAGAAAAGCAAAAAGGCTAGACCCTTATTTTTTGTTCTTCTTATAACACAGAAGTCCTCAAGTTGCCCCAAATTAAGCATTGATAATAAGTTTCAGCATACAGTACACACAGGCTCAAGGACGAGGCCTTCCAAGGTCTGCGAGTTAGGTTTCCTAATCGGATCCAAAGCTGCAAAAGCCATAATTGCAGGTTCTTTCATATCCTGCATGGAAAAAAAAGCCTGAATCCCTTCTCCACAAAATCATTACAGAACTACTTGATGAGGGTTCTCCCATGACAGGATAACAGTGGTGAGGACTACTGGCATGATGTCATACTCACTTGACCCAGTTCTGAAGAGTCAAAAAAGGAATCTCATAATGATTATTTTCACCTACTGTTAATGTCCACTGACCAACAGATCTGACAATTCTTAAATTCATAAGTGACAGTGATCTTTAATGTCCATAATTTTTTTTATATGGACCTAAATACAGATAGCACATTTTTCACAAATGAATGCTTTCACTTCTTCCCTTATACTTTCACATTGTAAGATATGACACAGAGTTCTTTCAGTATTATTTAAACTTATCCAGTCTTGGGAAGATGAAGGAAGGCCTTGTGCTGAAATATTGCCTCAATCACTTACTAGCTTTGTGATCCTGAAAACATTTCTTAACTTTTGGGAGTTAAGGAACCTCTGTTCCACATATTTGATGTGAGACTGAGATAAAGATCACGACAGCTCCTTTTCTTCTTTTTCTTCAGGAATAACCCATTTCAGTCCAGCTCATTTGCTCCAGCTAAGCTCACTGGTCCTTTTGCTGTATTACTTAATATTGCACTTTCTTCATTCTACAGTCAGAGACAGTCCTGCTAACCCCAGCCGTCAGTATCTGATTTTATGTTACAAATGGGACTGGTGAGCTTCTGGAATACTTGTTAACTACATCACCGCTGAAGTGGGGGAAGGGAAAGCACCGCAAAATGTACACCACAAGGAAGTGCAATGTAATTCAATTCAAACGTCTACCGAGCATTTTCTCAGCTCAGTCCAAGGTATCGGTAACCACATAGAGCATCCAAGAAATAAAAAGTGCATTTGTGGTATTAAAAAAACAGATAAAATGAGGCTGAAAGGACTTAAAAGTTTTTCAGAAAACAACAGGAATTCCAGAAAAACTCTACTCTGTTTTTCCCTAAATAATGTCGTAATTATCAAACATACTCGAACTGATTGCTGTGTACAGAAAATTAAAGTTGACATGAATTTTCCCATATATACAATATTTTCGAAGTAAACTACAGTTAGATTTTAACAAACCTAAATTATATGTTGTACTACGTATTTCCAAGTTTTTGGCATTGCCATTGTGCAATCCGGGGCTAATTTTACAGATAGAGCTGGAGGCTGTCAGTGCTGCACGAAGACGCCAGAGAACAGCACTTCGGCTGACGGCTGTCACCTTGGTTCACAGGGCTCTCCCTGGGAGGGTGGGGACGTCAGCTTCTGCAGCCAAAACCTGTCTGGTGACTGCAGCAGCACATAACTGAGTGAGCGACTTACCAGGCATCTATCTATTCCATTGAGGGAGGCTCTCAAACCTAAAATATCAGAGTTGAAATTGCTCCCTGACGCTCGGCGCCAAGGGACTGAGCATCGGGGTGAGTGCCGACCGTGTAAAAAGGACGAGGCCTATTGCCAGAGGCAGGTCTGTGTGGCGAAGGATTGGAGAACTAGAGAGGGACGATGACAAACCACACTAAGGGGAGTGAGGGTCGCAAAAGTTTACCTTTCAGGGCCAGCAGGTGCTCCTGTTTGGGAGGATTCACTTCCATCTTGACCCGCACTTTCGACCCAAAGCCTACGGGGACTGAGGAGGTTCAATCCAACTCGGAAGACAACAGAAAAGCGCGCTTCCGGGAAGACTGGGCGTCACACACACTCCCGACAGTTACTCCCTTCCGGTGGTGTCTTAAATCCTCCTCTTACCACGTCCTTTAAGGACCCAAAGGCTTCCTCTTACCAAGGCCCCTCTGGCCTCTTAGAGACCTACACATAAAAACTCTGCTTTCCAGCCGCAATTACACGTCGCGAATGCCCTACGACGCTCGTCGGACAATACAAGGCCTCCGGAACTGCGGCCTCGCGGCGTCAAAGGTATTGGTGGGGCATGCTGGGACTTGTAGTTTATACAGAAAATCGCATTGCATGCAGGGAGATGTAGTCCCACCTCACCCCTGTTAATTTCACAACTGGGGACGATACTCATTATCGGAGCGAGAGTTTCATCCCAAAACTTTACTTCTGTTTTAGCTTTTTTCCCTTTACTTTGTTCCTTCCATCGGTTGCATACTCCTTAATAACATTAAAAAAAACGAAGCGCCCATGCGCAAGGATATGCAGCCAGCTAGTGACAGGCGGGAGGAGGAACAGGAGGCCGTGGGAACAGCCCCCACCGCATCCTTTTGCGCCTGTGCACCAGTGGCTGGCGCCGAGGCGTCTGGGTAGGTGGCTCTCCCCCGCCCCTCAGTCGGAGGGCCCTTTCGGGTGCTTCCGCGGCGCCGCTCCGCCGAGGATGGCTGCCCTGGTTGTAAACAAGCCTGGACCGGGACTGGACAGTGGCCGGCAGGGCAGCCGGGGTCCGGCCATGGTGAAGGTGAGGGACCTGGCGTTCTCTGTTGTTCACCACTGGCCTGCCTTCGGTCCTTCCCGGAGAGGTGGCTGCGGCGCCGCGGCCCTGGCCGCCTCGGGCGCGGCGTGCGGCCTCTGGGCCCCTCTTGGCTTTACGGCCACGCTCTCCCCGCCGCGGCCGGTCCTCCGTTCTCGCCGGCCCTCCGCCCGGCATCACGTGTGGGGACGTTTGTGAAAAGAAGCTTATGGGCCTGCGAGAGCGAGCTGGGCTGCTCTTCCCCCAGGTCGTCTGCTTTTAGTTGAATTCAGCAGGCATTAATTAGCTTGTTTTTATTAAATCAAGCCATTATTATCGCCAGGTATTATGCGAGGTATTTTAACTGGCTAATAATCTACTTATGAGGCAGATGTTAGTTTCCGTTTTACCGGTGAGGAAGCTCAGGTTCAGGTTAACACAGTGTGTGGCAGAGCCAGGGTTGACCGGCGCCGAAGTTTGCTTTTCACTTGCTTTACTTCTCTGATCAGACATCAATTAAGGGGTGATCTGCCCCTTCTCTTGCTAGGACAGCCTGTCAGCACTTTTAAGACGTCTCCAACAGCAGCAGAGCTGGACATTAACACTAGCGTCTATGGATGGCCCTGTGCTTGAAGCTTGAAATTCTACCCTGTGTAAACGCTCCAAGATGCCTTTGCTAAAAAATCAACTGAAATAACCTGGGATTCATTTTTCCCTTCCACTAGATATAGAAAAATTTGGAAAAGAGAACTGATCATAATGGTTTGTAGAATACCTACAGGATTGTTTGTAATCTGAGATATCGATAATTCTCATTCCTGGTTATATATTAGAATCACCGAGGGCATTAAGAGACAGCAACAAAACAACCAAAAAGTACTGATGCAGCCCTTCCCCCCAGTTCTGGTGAAGTTGACATCAGTATATTTTTTACACCCCAGAAGTGATTTTAATGTTTGAGAGCCACTGGACCAGATACTATCTGAAGTATTTTTAATCTTTAATAATAGCCACCTATGATTTTTTTCACCTAATGTTGGTTTTATAGGACAACAAAAAATACAACTTCTGGTCACAACTATACTATCAGTCAATATTGGTGGTGGTTGATTCATCTGACCTTTACGTATTAATGAAGTTATTCTAAAAATACACAGCATAAGATGCAGAGGAGCCCTCTTATTAGGCATGCTGTATGGTTGAGAGTTTATTTATTGAATTTTTTCTAAGTAGGGAATACTTGAAGATTATTTTGTGAATTAACTTGAATTATGAAGCTGTATTTGGAATGAATATTATTGCTGTATATACTTTTGTTATCCTGTTTGCCCTAAAATCTCAAAAATATATCAAAGCCTGATGTAACTCCAGTTTGTTATAACACAGTTTGATATATTGGAGGCTCAATTTATTCATTTTAATCTTTACATGTAAAATGTGGCTGAGCTGGGCAGTAGGACAGTCCTTTTTGTCAAGAGCCTCATGCTGTAATCTGTAGGAAGTATGTTGGCATAAATTAAAAAAAAAAAAAGATTGTCATTTTCACAGATGATGACAAGGACTATTAACTGGAAGGGAAGAGTGGAAGTATAATAATGCTAATATTATGTAAACTGGCCTCTTGTTTAATGAACAAGTTGATAATGGCATGGTTTTTATCACTAGAAAAACAAATAGAAAAATTAGGAATTATGAAATTATTTATATTCAGAAAAGAATCAGGAAAGTTTCTTTTGAATAGTGAGCCGCCTTAGTCCTTTTAAAATATGGACTGGTTAGCCCAGCCAGAGTGGCTCAGTTGGTTGAGCGTCATCCAGTGCACCGAAAGGCTGCCGGTTGGATTCCCTGTCGGGGCACATACCTGGGTTTGCAGATTCACTCATGGTTGGGGCAGGTATGGGACATTAAAATTTTATTTACATGTAATGAAGTCCTGTTTGGCATATTTGTGCAGTTTATAAAATTAAGAGCAATTCTATCTAGGGCTTAATTTATCTTTTATCTTTAGCCAGAATTCCTATTCATAAGTGCTGAAGGAAGAATTTCTAACTCTGTTATTTACCGAGTTGATGTAAAGTAGTCTAGTAACTTTATTTTTCGACCCGTGTTTGGTTTACTAATCAGTGGAATTTTACTAGTGCTTTTTGAAAAAAGCCTATAGTAGTTACATAAGTTCTTTTAGCTTGTGTAATAATAAGGTCAGAGATGTAAGATATAAATGAACTAAGTGAAATTTTAATTTGGTTCTTTAGAGTTTGTCATAAACAAGTAAAATTTATTGTGTCACATTAGTGAGAACACTTGTAAAAAATACTGCATTTATTTTATAATACCTAATTCTGTGGTGAATATCTTTTCTGTATTTAATAGAATTTGATATTTAAGTGAAACTTTTTCCCTGCATTTAAAAAAAAAACCACAGGATAAATTGAAGTGTATGTGTGTATAATATAATTTATGTCAGCTGTTCCCTAACTCTTCCTCACTGGACTACAGAGTTTTGCAGTATGTGAATGTACTATAATTTTTTCCAGTCTTGTGATGGTGTATACTTTGTTTCTAATCTTTTGCTAATGGAAATGGTACTGTTAAGGATTAACATGTAGATCTTCTTACAGATGTGTGACATATTTGTAGGATAAATTCCTGAAAGTAGACTTTTGAACTATTCTAACTTTTGATAGTCATTGCCAAATTGCCTACCAGAGAAGCTATGTCAGCCAATTAAACATTTCACAGTAACCAGCAGTGTAAGAGAAAGATGCTTTCTCACACTTTCACCAATACAAACTGTTACCAACCTTTTTGGTGGAATCTCAAAAAAAGTATACTGGTGTAGCTTTAATTGCACTTCAGTGTTTTGAGTGATACTGAACATCTTTTCATATATTTAAAGAAAAGAATGTAAGTCTTATGAAAGACTGTTCATTTCCTTTTTTGTAAGCTGTGTGTTACATTCAAACTTTTTTTGAAACATACTGGGATGCATGCCAATTATGAATTACATTTACTTACAGTGAAAGGTGTTTGCATTTTAAGCAGTAAATCTAAAATGATTTCAGAGTTAAGATTAAAATCGTAGTGGATTAAGTCTGATTTCTACTCTGGATTTCCTATTTTTTACCTTGTATTGTGTATTTGTTGGGGATGGTGGTTGACTGAACTGTTTTTGAATTTTTATTTTGTTGGACTTTATTTATATAAGCCATAGGTGTTGGTATTTGGAATACCCTGTTCCTGAAAGCTTTTGGCCTAACATGAAAGATAGGCTGGAAAGCCAGTAAAGATATTAAGGTATTTTGGGTGTTAAGATGGACACTCATTCATTGCACATGGGGGCCCGGGATACTGTGGTCATTTCAAATGAACTGAACTGTGGTAGTCCCTAGATACAGTGTTTAGGAATTTGTTGGTTTATTAATGTAAAAAAGGATCCACTAGAAAAGTATTTATTTAGCTATTTCCTCAGCATTAGTAGGAAAAAAGCGGCAAAAACAGTTTGTCATCTTCTGGGAACTACAAGCTGTTTGAAATAGTTTGAGAATACAGTCCGAAAGGGGGTGGGAGTGCATAGGACCGAGACCAGATTATAGCGGGTCACGCATGGATCGCAGGCACTGGAGTTTGTGGTATAATTAAACAGTTCAGTGTTAGTATTTTTTTTTAATTAACTAAAATTGTGAAATACTTCAGATATATTAAGAAATAAAAGTACCAAAAATCTTTCTTTGATGTAAGTACAGTTTATTGACTAATTATAAAACATAAATTCATGGGCCTGGGAGTCAGAACATGCTGATTCTTACTACCTTTTTTTGACTGACTACATGGCCTTGGGCAAATCATGTACTTGTAATTGGAACTAGATAGAGAAAATATTTTCTAACCCAGGGGAATATTTATTACTTGAGAACAAGAAATTGAAATTTAAGTCCAAGGTGATTGCTTTCTTGCCTTTACATTATATGATGTAAATGTATACTAGAGGATACTTCAAAATTATTTATAGTTTTTTTTAGGACATTCTTTATTATTTAGAAGGTAAATTTTCATCCTAGCACATATTCTAAATTATTTTGTCCAAATTAATGATGGTGTTTTGGAGGTTAGGTAATTGCAGAGAGATTGTTTAATAACCCATGTTTGGGAGAATTATATATTGTTTCAGATTCAGATATAACGAATCAAGTCACGATTCTCAAAAGATAAAGATGACGATAATTTACAACATTATCTTAGTCCCTAACACTTAACATTTCAAGGAAATTTCACTCTGATGTAATGTTGGTAGAGTCTGTTAGATAAAGTGATAAAGGGTGATTTAAAGTTTTACAGCCTAGACAGTTGTTTTTTTCATTGAGAAGTAAGGTAATTTAACAAGATTTATTCAATATACTAGACCGGCTTTTTTAAAAAAACTGAAATATGTATGCTTTTAAAATCATTTGGAGACCACATGTTCTCTTTCCAAATATTAGGTGCTGGAGTGTGGAGTTTGTGAAGATGTCTTTTCTTTGCAAGGAGACAAAGTTCCTCGCCTTCTGCTCTGTGGCCACACAGTCTGTCATGACTGCCTCACCCGCCTGCCTCTTCATGGAAGAGCAATCCGTTGCCCTTTTGATCGACAAGTAACAGACCTAGGTAGGGAAATACATATGTATATTTAAGATTTAAAATTGTTCACAGAATACAAATGTCATAGAAAAAAATTTCTTTCCACTTGATTTTTAAAATTATGTAATTCCAAGGAGGATTCATTTTCTATTAAGGCCAGTAGTCTTGTAAGTATAAACTAGCTCGCTCTTAGATACTAATTTTATTTCATCTTCTGAGATGTTTATATTCAATACTTACTTATATATGAAGAGCTTTAAGATACCCAAGAAGCACATGCTAACCTATTCAAGGAAATAAGAAAATTCATTTGCCTGAAGCCATTGATACAATAAAACAGTGTTTTCTTACTAACTTAATAGGCCAGTAATGAAAATACTGTTAAGTATGTGAGTGTCAGCATGTTTTTATTTACTGGTGTCAGAAATAGAAGTGTTCGTAGGTTGTGTTAATTACTTGTTTTCTGTTTAAATAAGTTTAACGGTCTTGTTGATTTTTTTTCACTTTACTTCGTACTTTTAAAATTTCACTTTATATTTCAAAATGACTTATTACTGTGGGATACTAGATTTGGAAATAGTAACATTAACATTTTAACAATTATTTTACAAACATAAGTTCTGTAAGTTTACTCTTTTTGATAACAGAATTTTCTTTAAAATAGTTTAAAGTTGTCATTTTTTTCAGATCAGTAGCATTATTTGTTTTAAGGCTGTTTTAAGGTATTCATACCATGTGTCAAGTGGAACACATTCAAAATAATTTACTTACCAAAAAAGGAAAGTAAGAGTACCCAGATTTTTAGACTGGAAAGCTTTAAAATGCTGAGAAACATGCATTATAAAATGTTTTCTTGTTGGGAAGGGGTAGGTTTCTTAAGGTTTGGTAGTCTTTGATTTAAATAAATATGTAGTATGTCCATTTGCCAGAAAATTAATATAGGACAGTGTTGGCATTATTATAGATCACATTAACTTACTATTAAGATTGCATTCTGTTAGATTTAGTTTTTATTTTTATATTTATTGTAGGAGATTCAGGTGTCTGGGGATTGAAAAAAAATTTTGCTTTACTGGAGCTTTTGGAACGACTACAGAATGGACATATTGGTCAGTATAGTGCTGCAGAAGACGCCATTGGGATATCTGGAGAGGTATTGATTGAACTTGGTGAAATATTTGTTATGAGCATGAAGTTTTTTTCTTTTAGTTTAAAATATTTGCTGTTAAAAGCACAATATTAACCTCACTTACTCCAGCAGGTGGGATCCCAGAAACACAACTTTTCATTACATTACAGTTCTTAAGGCAACAATACTACCAACAGAACAAAAGTAAAACTGAAACCTGAATTCTTTGATAATACTAAACGCAAACTATATTTTGTGTATAAACTTGTCTCCTTGTCATAATTCCTTTCTATCCCAGAAAATGAAAGAGTAAGAAGATTATGGAAGAGTGAGAAAGGTGTATAAGCTGCATTAAAACAGGATGCAAAAGTGAGCTAGTCAGCAGTAAAGCACAAAGAAAGAAAGCTCTCTGAAAGGGGCTATTTAATATAGAAGCAAAATGCCTTCAAGACAGCGCTAGCTCCTGAGGGAATTACTACTACTAAATATCTTTATGAGAAGGTTAAATTATGTGTAGGTGTATTCTCTATATCCAGACAGGTAGATATCCAGATACAGTAGAAGTCCATGAACACAGATTAAACACATTTTTAACACGTAAGGAATTTGCCTGCATAGCTCATAGGCTATTCTGGATATAAGAATAGTTGTAGTAAATAATAGTTAATGATTTTGGTGATCAACTTTAAAACCATGAGTCATTGATTTCCACTTCTTTTATTAAATCGTAATTTCTTTATGTAAAGTAAATCATTGAAATGAATTTCAAACTGAAGCATTGTTTTCTGAAATTTTTGCAGTTCTCTCACATGCTCTATCTTTTATCTTTATTTTAAAAAACATTAGAATATTATCTGATGTTGACCTTGTAAATTATTTGTCAGATCTGGAAAACAGAAGACTTGAATTCTTATTTTACATGTACACATTTCCCATAATTGCAAACAAAACTATTTAACTTTGGGTTCATTTTTTTATTTAATGTGATAATGAGCGACACCATTGATATGTTTTCTAATTTTTATTTCTGGAAAAATTTTATACCAAATCTCTCCCTTTCCAACTATGGCCTTTTAATATTCAGCAAAAATTTCGAAAGCATTCTTGATTATAGAATTTGCGTGAAGCCATTGAGACAATAAAAAGTGTTTTCTTAATAAATTAATAGGCCAATAATGAAAATACAGTGATGATTTTCGACATACACTATTTTCCAAGTTGAAGCTTTTTAGTAATTAATGAAAATTAGAAATAATACTTAAAAGCTTACATATAACATAGGTTTTAATTGTTTATTTGCCTACATCAGTGGCCTTCAACTAGAATTGTGCAGTGGGCTAACCTGTGGAGCTTTAGAAAAAAGTCCACAGGTTCAGGCTTCATCTCTAACCTATTGAAATAAGTGTTTCCCAGGTTGGATTCTTGGCACCATTCTTTTAAAAGCTTCATAGCTGATTCTGATGCACACCCCTTGCTACTGAAGTAGCATTTGTGCTTCTCTTCTTCCTAGACATCATCGTGAGAAATAGTATTTAAAGCAGTGGGTATGTATTTAGTGTCAGTTTTTTAGTTTTAAGAAAAGATTTCTAACCTCTAATCAGTTTCTTGTTTGTAAAGTGAAGGGATTTTGTGGAAGTTAACTTTGCTCTGACTGTGAATCTATGAGAATAGTTTTATTTTTGGCCTCAAATACATAGCATATACTGATAATCAATTTTGGGAATAGCTTCTCACCCATAGAACTGAATACTTTCTCAGATGAGTAGTGAATGACCTTTGTACTTAATTACCAGTGTGTTTTTATATATAAAGGCTGATTAGTTATAAAAAAAGATTATAGGCTTTTGTGTTTCAAAATTTGTCATGTTATAGTGATTGGAGTTTGGTTTTAAGATACTAATTTTTTTGTTTATCAGAGCATCATTCGTTGTGATGAAGATGAAGCTCACGTTGCATCTGTATATTGCACTGTATGTGCAACTCACTTGTGCTCAGAGTGTTCCCAAGTTACTCATTCTACAAAGACATTAGCAAAGCACAGGCGAGTGCCTCTTGCTGATAAACCTCATGAGAAAACCATGTGCTCTCAGCATCAGGTGCATGCCATTGAGTTTGTCTGCTTGGAAGAAGGCTGTCAGACTAGCCCCCTTATGTGCTGTGTCTGCAAAGAATATGGAAAACACCAAGGTCACAAGGTATGAATATAGTTAAACTGGATGACTTGACCTAGTTTCCCAGACCACCATTTGTTTGGTAAACTGAAAAGAAACAAGAGATTTAATTTCTGGATAACAAAAATTTCAGCAGAGAGGCTGCATGATTCTTTCTTTAATGAAAAAATAGCTTTCCAGCAGAAAACAGAAGTTTTCTTCTTTGTGTGCATGTTTTCATAATACACTGGATTGTTTTGATAATATTTATGTCTGTTGATGAACTACTGCTTGTGATAAAATTTTAGAGAGCCTAGTGAGTTCTTGTTTAGTGATAAATGGACTTGCAAATGTTAAATTGTTTCTTTGCGGGATAAATAGTTATTGGGTGAAGGTAAATTAGTATTTTGTATGCTGTGATTTTGTGTGTTAAAAAAGCCACTTGTCGCTGATGCTTTTTTTAATTAATAGGAGTGATTTAAATAGTTTTCTGTATAATTAGTCGAATACTATGAGTTCTTTTCTTTAATTACATTGCATTTTATAGCATTCAGTATTGGAACCAGAAGCTAACCAGATCCGAGCATCAATTTTAGATATGGCTCACTGCATACGGACCTTCACTGAGGAAATCTCGGATTATTCCAGAAAATTAGTGGGAATGGTCCAGCACATTGAAGGAGGAGAACAAATAGTGGAAGATGGCATTGGAATGGCCCACACAGAACACGTATGGATTTCTAAGTTCTTCCTTACTCCTTTACCCTTTTTCCTTCGTACTTTCACCATCTAGTATTTATTGAGCAATCGTACTGCACTAGTCTCTTTAAAGGATTTTTATACAAAGTCTCTTTCTTCATGGAACTTATAATCTGTCATGAAAGAGAGACAGTTTCAAGCATGGCAACTTGATTTCGTGGGGGAAGCACAGGCTGCTTTGTCAGTACATAGGAGGGGCAGTAATTTAGGCGAGTCAGGGAAGACTTCCCAGGAGACATGATACCTAAACAGGCTTGAAGGGATTTAGTCAGGGAGAAGAGCAGGCTGGGGAGTGAATTTTCCCAGAGACGGAAGCGTATGTTAAAATGCCTGAAAGTGAGAATGGGACATATTATAGAATCCTAACTAAGTTCATTATGGTTGAAGCTTGGAATATTGGGTAGTGCAAGGCGAGAAAAGAGGTTGGAGTAAAATTATGTGGGATCTTATTAGCTGTTTAAAGAGTTTGGACTTTATATTATGGCCATGATGAACTATTGAAGAATTGGCTTAGGAATAATAATCAGGTTTTCATTAAGAAAAGTTGCTCTTCAATGTAGAAAATGAATTGGAGTAGCAACAAGATTGGAAGCTGGGAAACCTATTAGTAGTTGTTGAAATAATCTAGTTGAGAGATGTTTATGGCCAGTAACACTGGAGTAGTGAGAATGGAGAGAAGTAGGTGGATTTGAGATTTTGAAGAAGTTGAATAGGTAGGTCTTAGTGATTGATTAATAATATTGATTGGATAGCTTGGAGGGTCAGGCACAGTGCCTAGATTTCTACCTTGCCCAGCTGGGTGGATGGTGCTATCATGCACTAATGGGGGAGGAGGAAGAGTTTTGGGAGGGGATAATAGGGCCAAGGTGATAAGTATAATTTGGATGTTGAATTTATTATTTCTGTGAAGTAATCAAGGGGAGACACCCTCCAGTGAACTGAGTAAGTGGGTGCTGGGAAGTGAGTATGTCTAATTTTTAAATTTGGCTGTGACGAGAAGGAACTAAAGTGGTAAACAATGTTCTAGTTGAGGAGACACCACTGGACAAGCTCTGCTTTTACAGAGTTTACATTCTAATATGGGGAGAGAGACAATAAGTAAAATACTTATGGCAGAAGTGTATTAGATGCTTTGGAGAAAAGCAAGGGAAAGGGGGAGTGCACTTTTATATGGGGCATTTGAGGACATATTCCCTGAGAAGGTGACAATGAACAAAGACCTACAGGAGATGGGAAAGGGAGCCATGAAAATATCTGGGGGAAGAGTGTTCCAGGCAGAGAGGAAAGCAGGTGGAAAGGGCCTTGAAGTTGGAATGTGCCTGTGTGCTTAAGAAACTGAGGAAGCTAAGTGTGGCTGGAGTAGAGTGATTGAGGGGAGTGTCGCAGGAGTTGAGGTCAGAACGGGCCTTATGGGCATTTGCTCTTCTTTCTGCCAGGAGTGTTCCTCCTGAAGATACTCATGTGGCCCCTCTTTCCTCCTTGAGGCCCTTGCTCAGATGCCCTTTTCTCGGGGAGCCTGTCCCTGAACTCTATACAAAGGACTCTGGCATTCACGCTGAGTGGAATGAAGCGTTTTGAGCAAAAGAATAATTACCTTTCTGACTTAACATTTTAAAAGGATCATTCTGAGTGCTGGGTGGAGAATACATTGTAGTGGGCAGGGGTAGATCTAGTGAGACCAGTTAGAAGACTATTAAATAATCAGGTGAGAAATGATAATAGCTTGGGTCCGGTTGATAGAGGCAGAGGTGATGAGGCATGATTAGATTCTGTGTATATTCTGAAGTCCACAGAATTTGCTGAGGGACTTGTTGGGGGATACGAACAAAGTGATAAAGATGACTTCAGTTGTTTTTGTTTTGAACAACACAGAGGCTGGAATTGCCATTTGTTGAGATGGAGGAAACTAGGTTTTGGGTGGGAGAGACTAGAGATTAGGTATTCCATTCTGCTTTTGAGATATCATTTAACCAGTTGGATATCCAAAGGCTGTGGTTTAGGGGAAAGATTAGTGTGGAGATACAAATTTTAGAATTTTAAAGGATATAGACGTTTAAATTTTCATTATTTCACGTATACAATCTTTGTTATGGTTACAGTTTAAAACTTATTTTTATTTTCTTAGGTACCAGGAACTGCAGAGAATGCCCGGTCATGTGTTCGAGCTTATTTTTCTGATTTACATGAGACTCTGTGTCGTCAAGAAGAAATGGCTTTAAGTGTTGTTGATGCTCATGTTCGAGAAAAATTGATTTGGCTCAGGCAACAACAAGAAGATATGACTATATTGCTGTCCCAGGTTTCAACAGCCTGTCTCCATTGTGAAAAGACTTTGCAACAGGTAGGGAATTTCAACCTGGCAAAAACAAGTTTAAAAAGGAGGATTTTTAAGGTTAAGTAGAGAATTACCAGAGGTATACAATAGTGTATTTTATTACTTTAATAAAATTTTTATATTATTATATGTTTGCTGCCTTAGCATTGTGCTTAGGACATGGTCTCTAAGCTCAAATTGCTCTTCCGTGTGCCCTCTGCACCATAAAACCGGAGATTCTAGAACATCTGACTTGTGTCGTTCTTCAGTCATGCCGAGCCCCTTTTCTCTTCTTTGATAAGCATGTGCTCTTTTTTCTGCTTCGCAAGTTTATATTCCCTTTCCTGCTAGTGGAAAACCCCTCTTCAAAGTGTAGTTCAAGTGTTTGCTCATCTTTGAAGCTCTCCCTTGTTCTTTTTTTTGGGTGCGCCTCTAGTCTAATTCAATGGTTCTTAACTTTGATGTTACAGGAAAGCTGTTGTTTTTAGTGTTGTTGTTTTTTAAATCCTCACCCAACGAGTGAGGCCATTGATTTTTAGAGAGAGTGGAAGGGAGAGGGGATGATATGAGAGAGGCACATTGATTGGTTACCTCCCACACGTGCCCCGACCTGGGGTGGGGATGGAACCTGCAGCCCAGGTATATGCCCTTGACCGGGAATCAAACCTGCGACCCTCCAAATGTGCATTTTGATGCTCTAACCATTGAGTCACGCTGACCAGGGCAGAAATGCTGCTTTTTGATGGTTGATGTATCAAAAAGCCATTTGTTACCCAGTTTGCAGGTGATGTACTTTTAAAATAAATTACATTTAAGGTTATTCTAACAATGTCAGTCTTACTCATTTCTGTTTTGGATTTGTATTCATGAGTGGGTGATATAAGGCTAATTACTGCCCTAGGAATTCCTGATAAACTGCATTCTACCTTATTTTTACTGATATATTGCTAATAATGTGTTGATTTCAAATCCTTGTAGAGCTAAACTTTTTAGCATTGTAGAGTTTTTTCTCCTAAACATGTTGACTCCTACGAATGTGACTAGGCTGCAGCCACATCAGTCTTGAGCTGTCGTTTAGTTCTTACCACATCGAATTGTACTAATTGATGTGTGTTCCATTTATTACGTTGTCTGAGCTTCAGTCCTGTTCTTCTGTCTTCTGCTTTGTGTTGCTGGGACTGGGACTCGACAAACCATCTGTGTGCTTTGCCAGCTGGCTCCATGTTAGTTTAGCCTCTGCTAGTAGGGACGCACGAGAGACCAGAAGGTGGGGATGGTGTCCTGTGGGTTCCTATTTGCTTGGGGCCCCTGTGAGCGTCACTCCTCACATGAGGATCACTTTCCTCAGTGGCTTTGAGCTCCATGGGCCCATCCTCTAAGCTTCTAGCTTCTGTCTTTTATTCCCCCAGCCTGGGGGGTGGTGGCTGTTTCCTACAGTTGCTTCCTCCATGGTGCCCCAGAGTTATTTTTACCCTTTCAGCTACCTAGTGAGTAACTACACCTAGTAACAGTTCTTCATACTGAGTTTTTTCTGTTCTCCTAACTGCTGTGGTTTTTGTCTCCTTATCTTAACCTGAATGATACAGGAAGCATATTTGCCCTACTTACTGACATGATTCATCTTATTTATGGCCAGGATAGTGGTGGTTAGAAATGCCCAGATTCTGGATATCCAGTAGGAGTTGTTGACAGGTGGTTGTGGGTTATTCCGGAGGAGAGGGCAAGAGTGACTTCAAGATTTTTATTCTGAGCAACTGGAATAATGGAATTTCTGTCAACTAATATGAATATGCACCAGTGAGTAAAAACTGAAAACACCCCTACTCTAGTGGAACTTACATGTTTTGGGAGATCTCTGTCTTGTGAAGAAAATATTGGCACATGTATAGAATATCTGGAACAACAGTTGAGAAAGTGGAAAGTGCTTGACTTAAATTCTTTAGGATCTTTTTTTTTTTTTTAATTTGTCTTTATTGTTGAGAGTATTACATGTGTCCCATTTTTCCCCCCAGTTGACCCCCTCCATTTCGCTCCCACCCCCTCCCCAGGCCTTTACCCTGTTATTGACTGTGTCCATGGGTTATGCATATATCCATATAACTTCTTTGGTTAATCTCTTCCCACCCTCCACCCCCCTTCCGTCTTTCCTCTGAAATATCATCTGTTGCATGCATCAATGTCTCTGGATCTATTTAGTTCGTNACTGTGCCTGTCTCTTATACACATCTAGATGTGTATAAGAGACAGCATCAATGTCTCTGGATCTATTTAGTTCGTCAGATTCTTTTGTTCATTAGCTTCTTCTTAAAGAAGACCGTTTGACATTTCCTGTAGTACTGGTCTGGTGGTGATGAACTCCTTTAGCTTTTTCTTATCTGTGAAGCTCTTTATCTGACCTTCAATTCTAAATGATAGCTTTGCTGGGTAGAGCAATCTTGGTTGAAGTTCCATGTTTTTCATCACTTTGAATATTTCTTGCCACTCCCTTCTGGCCTGCAAGGTTTCTGTTGAGAAATCAGCTGACAGTC